ACAGACAACCTCTCGTCAATATGCGTTTTTTGCATTGCATTACTGCAAAAAACGCATAAAAAACGACGCTGGGACCGTCAGCTAGCTGATTATCAGGTGAAGATACGCAGCACTGGTCAAAGCAACTGAAATAGTTGCCCGGCTGTACTGTTGGAAAGAAACAACATAAAATAGCAACCGTTTCAGGTAACTCAAGTATAAAACATGGACAGCGGGATTGGGAGGGAAGGAGGGAGGGGGAGGGGATAACAAATTACAAAGAGGAAAAAGAAAAGCAGAAAAAATGGAGATGTTATAACAATCCAAAAAAAAAAATCTGTAAAATCAATATGTCTTTCCACTCCTTCACTCGATGTTTCTTTCAATAGTTTTTGTCTAATAAAAAGCAAATTAGCTTTTTGTTTAGTTCCGTCAAATATTCTGTACAAACAAATTAGCTCACTGATTTTGTCTAAAAGCAAATTAGTAATTCATTAGCGAATAATGAAACTTAAATTATTTTAGAAAGCTTTGATGAGCAGTCGGCATCATTACAAATGAAAATAAAAAGCCATGTAAAATTATTTCAGTAATTATTGTTCATAATGTCATTAAAACACACTCTGGTGCATAGGCGGATTCAGAACGGCTTCCTGGGGGAGGAGGCTTGGAGAGTGGGGCTCCCAGTGTCGCCCGACCAGGAGAGGGAGGACGGGGGGGAGAAGGGGGGGAGGGGGCAAGGGTGGACTTCTGACTTATCGCCGAATTGAGGGGAGGAGGGGAAAAGGGGAATGGGCCTACTGATGCGATGACAAACGGAGGGGTGCGGAAGAGAGTTTTCCTCAGTTTCAGCTTTGAACCTGAACTTTTTAACACTGGTGCCTGTGTCACTGGTAAGGGGAGGGGAGAGACCAACCGCCTCCCCCTCCTTCTTTGGATCCGTCTATGTTTTGATATGTCTGCATATTTAGTAAAGTTCAGTTTCGACAACGTAAAAATACTAAACAAAAAAACACACTGCCGTGTGATAAAGCAAAAATCAACCAAACAAATACTGATAAGAGCTACAGCTTAGTTAAGCAATGAAGAAAATGCGGGAAAATCCATTTTTAACTATCGGCAGCGACGAGATATAGCACCCGGACAGCGCAGATCATCCGAAGAGGACGACGGCAGACGTGTGGCAAACAAAAAAGTTAAAATCTATGGATTTATTGGAACTAAAATCTAAAATCTATGGATTTTGAATCTATGAGGGAAAAAATACGACTTACATTGCCTTCTTCGCTCGTCGGCTTATAGCCATTCGCTTCGGGCTGTAAAATATATTAAGTTGCAAGATGATTGTTGGAACAGGAACTAACGTAATAAGTGACTCATCCGTAAACGCAATTACAGTTTCAATAAAATTCTCAGCTGAAGTCAAGCATCAGCAATGAAGTTTTCAGGAAGTAACTGACACTTCTGTCAAAAAGTATGATGATTTAAAAGTTAAAAAACTAAAAAAAAAAATCCAAGAAAGCACAAAAAAATTTAAAAGTTTGGGAAAACCAGGAGAAAACTGAAAAAAAAAACTAATAAAAAGCACTAAAAAAACTAAAAAAAAACCCTAAAAAACTTAAAAAAAACAAAAAATTAAAAAACATTCATCGATTTTTAAAAATTTTTCTACATAGGTACTTCTTTCCAAGCACAGTGGCACCAGTGAATGCGCATATTTCAATACTACTACAAAACATTCGC